TTTTCTTTTCTTTTTTTTATTCCCTCCCAGTCTAGGGGCATTTGAAATATATATTATGTTCATCTTTGTTTCTATATATGTTGAATGTCTGTCCTATAACCCTCTGATCGGTGCTGGTCTGCCGGCTGCCCTCGTTCCGTCGTCGTCTTCACTGCCGTCTCTTGTGTGACGTCCTTCTCCCTTGCGTACACACGACCTGTCTATACTTACACCGAGGAATGCAACCCTCCCTATAGTTGGTGTTGCCAAAGACAACAAAACATTGAACAGCAACTTGGGGATATAACTTCACCCACCGTGGTCAAACCTACCGATGGCCGCCCCCGCTCTCTCAGCCGGATTAATCGATCCCACCAAACAAGCCGAGTACCCCATTATTTTGGGTGACAGGCTTTCAGGAAAAAATGGCACTTCACTGTCGAAGCTGGTCAATATCCAATATAATTACAAGACAAAGTCCGCGACCGCGCAACAAACCATTACCAGAGCATCGCAATCGAGGGATCACTACAACCTTACCATTACGGACAAAGCGCCGAATGCTGAACAGAATACTTTAACATATTCTTACCAAGGTAGCATTGACCCAGGGCAAGCTGTTTCAGAATCCGAAGAGCGAAATCTGGTCTTGGTGTTCGACTCCCATCGAAAGGCCTTTGTCCTGGAACCGGTTACGACACAGCTCAATTTCAACCTCCGCTCGGCTCCGGCGAAGACAGAGAAGCAAGTGCTAGAAAAGTATGACCAGCTTCGGACTTTGCAAGAGGACGATCAAGGCTCAGGAGACGATCGGGGTTCAGACCATGCCAGTGGGAACGACGATGGTCCAGCAGATGACACTAATCCATACGACTTCCGGCATTTCCTTCCTAAGGAGAATACCGATGACGATAAGTCGGTCTCAGACAACGCTACGCCAGAACCTCATTATAACACCAGCAAAGCCAATACCCCATTAATGCCTGCGACTACCAAACCCACACCGAGTCCGAAGCCTAGCCCGAAGCCTCGTCCCAAAACCCAATCCAATCCTCTTCGTCTCCCAAAGCCGGCCAAGCCGGCCAAGCATGACAGCGCAGGGACCCCCAAGACAAGCTCTAGGCCTATACCTCGCGATGAGGACGTGAAAGAGAAGGCGCCTGCTCAAGATGTCGCAGTCGAAGCAGCCAAATCCCCATCTTTCGAAAATGGAAGCAGCGCTTTGTTATCCCAACAGCCAGCTCCTTCACCCGGGTCGAATATCATCATTGATGGGGACCTCATCATTGATCTGGCTCACCGCCACCTTCTCGACCTGCGTTCCGAATTGACCCTGCTCACTTCTCTTCCAATAATACACCAGCAAATAATGATGATGATGAAGATGAGGATATCGAGGATCTCCGGTTGCCCTCCCCTGCTGGACACGGAGGGATACCTACTCGTTCCGGAAGGGTAGAGCCTAGTTACAACGCGCAAGCTGATGAAGATGAGGTTGAGGACGATGACGCTTTGGCGGCAGAAATGGAGGCTGCATTCGAAGAAAGTGCTCGGGAAGAGGAGGCTAGAAGTCATCAGTCATTACACCATTATAATGCTCCTAGCGATGACGAGAGTGAGGTCAGTGAGGAGGAGTAATTCTCCCTTTATCTTTGCATAGTTGGAATAGTTGTGTGTTTCTTGTTTTCGTGTTTCAAAACCATATATAAGCATGGCGTTCATTTGGAGTTTGGAGCGGAATAATGAACTCAATGGAGTTTTACAATTATCGATAGCAGTGATACCACCTATTGCATCCCAACCTGTATAGAGGATTAGGATAGTTCCAATACCATGACGTGTATTTCGAGTTGCTTGATGCATGTAAATGAGTTGTTCTGGGAGTCCAGGCCGGAACAACTCGATGATCCGATCTCAGATCACGCATTTGTCCGGCTGCGGATCATTCGAACTCCAACAAAAACCACCACCAGATCTGCAGGGGAGAGAGTCCTCTACCGAACAATTTCCACCGCTTTGCCTCCATTCTTTGAGCCATTTTGATTTTTTTCACCACTTTCTCTCTTGTCTTTCTCCGGTCTCTGAGCAGAGCCCCCACACCAACAACAACACAACAGTGCGATTGGCCCCGAATCCGGGCTCGGCCCACGATGCGATGAAAGGTCTCGCGCCATGGTTGATCTGATCTGTTAATAACTTGCTTTTAGCTTCTGGTAGTCAGCAGAGGACGGAGCCTTTCATTCTGGTCTCACTGGACGACTAAATGGTTGATACTGCCTACTTGTAGTCATTTGAACTTGGGTTCTTTCTCTTGTCCATATCATCGACCTTAACCGCCTCCACAGATATCCTGTTCCTGCAAGGGTAACAACACAATCCTTCATGGCGTCCACAACATCACAGCCGTCGGAGAAGCGACCTGTGCCCGCGCCCTCGAACCCCGTCCTTCTTGCGACACAAGCCCAATGGCTTTTCACAGATGAGGAGCTCACGCGTGCGCCGTCGCAACTCGACGGTATGGCACTGGAGGCAGAACATACAAGTCGCAGTAAAGGGGTCAATTTCATCACTCAAGTGGGCATTATGTTAAAATTGCCCCAGCTCACAATCGCAACTGCGGCCGTATACCTTCACCGGTTTTTCATGCGGTACAGCATGGTCGACCTGCCGCAACGACCGGGAATGCACCCTTATCCGATTGCTGCCACCGCATTATTCCTATCGACCAAAGTGGAGGAGAATGTGCGGAGGATGAGAGAACTGGTAGTCGCATGTTGTCGGGTAGCGCAGAAACAACCCAACCTGGTCGTGGACGAGCAATCTAAGGAGTTCTGGAAATGGCGAGATACGATTCTGCACCATGAGGACCTCCTTCTGGAAGCCCTTTGTTTCGATCTCCAACTTGAACAGCCCTACCGTATCCTCTACGACTTCATCTGCTACTTCGGCGTCAACGAGAACAAACCCCTCCGCAACGCTGCCTGGGCCTTCGTCAACGACTCTATGTTCACCGTTCTTTGCCTGCAATTCTCGGCTCGGAACATAGCTGCCGCCGCCCTTTACGCCGCCGCCCGACATTGCGATGTAGGATTTGAGGACGATGTCTCGGGCCGGCCGTGGTGGGAGCAGGTCGACGTGGATCTGGCACAGGTGCGTCGCGCGTGCACAAGAATGGCACAATTGTACGAGAACAATGCCATGCAGAAACATAGCCAGTACTACCCGACCACCCCCATCTTCGCAGACGAGGGTACTGAGAAGACCAGGATCCCGCGTGCTGGCAGCCCGGCTGGTACCCTGCGTGAAACAGACAACGCGAATGGACGGAAGCGGTCGAGAGAGCCCGAAGACGAAGCCCAGGGCCGCTCAGAAGAACCACCGGTTCCGCACGACCAAGAACCGACGAACGGCGAACGATCTCCGAAACGACCACGCATGGGCTCAGACGCCGCCGCACAAGAGGCTTCAGCCGACAAGAACCCATCCAACTCGACGTCGTTTAATTCCTCCCAGGGAGCAACAGCTCCCCAGTCAACAGGGACACGCCCACTCCCCCACGACCGCCACCATACAAACGGTCATCTCCCTCCCCCTCCTCACCGCTACCAACATCCCCTGCCTCCCGCCCCGCGAACATTCCCCCGCCGAGACAGCGACCCCCGTCCAAGCGGCAGCGGCGGACGCCCAAACGCTCCAGTCGACGACCCAATCCAACAACGGATCGACGAAATCGTATCCCAAAACATGACCAATCCCCAAGCGGACCCCCGCCGCGAGACCGACGTAACTCAGACCGATACCGCGAACACGAAGACTCCAGCCGAAGACGTCGCTCAGACCTCTCCTCCACCAGCAGAAAATCCACCGACGAGCAACACCCTCCACCCCCGCCTCCTCCTCCTCCCTCCGATAAGCTCCAGAACCAGCAACCACCACCGCCTCCTCCGCCACCAGACCAGGATGAAGAAGGCGGAGGAAGCGAAGAGGGCGAGCTATAGTCATTATAAGTTCTTTACGGTCTCCTCTGCATCCTTACCCACCCCTTAAAAACAACTATATCTCTACTATAACCTGGCTTATATCACTGGACATCCTATTCCATTGTCTATTCTTAGTCCGGCGGGTTCGTTGGCTACACTGTACAGTACATATTCCTACGTAGTGTGGACGGGGGCAAAACGAAGTATACAGAATCATTGGTTTGAATATCTCGATGATATAATGCTATTACAGGAAGACGAAAAGAAACAGAAAAGAAAAATTTAGGAAATTCTGTTTGTAATTTATTGCTACCTAGGTCAATATTACTGACTACTTCTGTTGGCACTGCTTTGGTTGGCTGGTGTTAGTAAAAATACATCGTTGTAGCTCTGGGTGGTTGTTGGTCTAGCAAAATTTGGCGCAATTCTATCCGACACGCATACGTTATAGATGGAAAAACTACGCAGGGGACGTAAGGATGTGTGTACGGAAGCCAACATGGATGCCATTGAAGCTAGATTTACCTGTGCTGTCACGTGGAAATAGGCAGCCAAACGAAAGATACCCGTTGCCATAGTCTGTGTTTTCGTCCCGCAGGCCAGGGACGCGCAGTGCGAGTCAAAACCCTTTAGTCGCGATGCCCAGTCCGTGATCAAGCAAGCTGCTGGAAGCTACGAAACTGAATCCTCCGAAGGGGTTGCTCTCTTCTCCCATGACGTCGTAGCCAGATGACATAGGACGCTGGCTGCCGCGCTGATGGGCGGCATAGTGATCATCGAAGCCGGCAGAAGCAACGAGCGGGCTCAGTGGCAGATGAGTAAAATCGTCGGAGAAGTTCTCAGCGAGTGCAGGGTCCGTGACAACAGGGACAATCGGAGGAGTAACTGCACGGCGCCCTAGAGCTTTCCAGTCGATCTTGCGGAAGAACCGGTGGTTCTTGATCGTCTGGAGGTCTTTGGGCATATGGTATCCAAGACGCTTGGATGGCTCCTTGCGAAGGAGACGGGTCAACAGGTCTTTGGCGTCCGGGCCAAGGAAGTAGGGCAGGGTTAGCTTCTGCTTCAGGATTTTCTCCTGCAGCTTGGCGTTGTTATTGGCTTTGAACGGGGGTGATCCTGTAAGAAGATCGTACGCCAATGCCCCAAGGGACCACCAGTCGCAAGCTTTGCCGTATGGTTTGCCCTGAATGACCTCTGGGGCCATATATTCAATGGTGCCCAGCGAAGAGTTGCAGCGGTCATCATCATTGGCAGATATCTTGCTGAGACCGAAATCTGTCAGCAAAAGGTGGCCTTGGTGGTCCAAAAGGCAATTTTCAGGTTTCAAGTCACGGTAAATCACACCGACGTTCTGATGCAGATGCTCGAGCGCGAGGACCATTTCCGCCATGTAAAAGGCCGCCACATCTTCATCGAACATACGCTCCATGGCTAAATGCGTGAATAGCTCGCCACCTTGGGCGTATTCCAGGATGAGGTAAAGCTTCTCATGGTCCTGAAAAGCGTAGAAAAGCTTGACAACAAACGGATGGCGGTTGACGCTCTCCAAGATCATACGTTCTGTCTTGGTCTGCTCCACTAGCTTTTTATGAACGGTGATTGAGGCCTTCTGGAACTGTTTCTGAGCATAAAGCTTGCCTGTGAGAGCATGACGCACCAACAGGACGGTCCCAAAAGAGCCTTTGCCCAGACAGAGGAGGGGCTCAAAGTCATCTGTGGTCATCTTCCGGCAAAGCTGGGTGCGCATATCCTTAACACTTGACGTATTGTAAGACTTTTCCTCCGCTACTGCATCAGCGCTGACATAGTCGTGTTCCAGAGGCACCTCATAGCTGGTCAGAACCTCCGTTTGGTCACTGTCCGAGCAAACACTAGCGTTGCTTTGTGCCTCGGAGCCAATATCACTTGGCACGCCTTGGAGAGAGCGGTCTCCCGACAAGTTCAGCGAATCGAGCTGAAGTTTTAGAGCGCTAACACCATGGCCTGAAGCTGGCTGGGACATTGGGCTATTACCCGGTCGCGCTGAAGAGCGCAGTGCGCGAGAACTAGAGGCCGAAAAGTCCGAATCCTCATCGCCAGAACCCAAGGGGGTAAAACCACGAACGGTGGAGATTGCTGGGGCGGCTTGTTGCTTTTTCTTTTTTCGTCGGTCTACCTTTCCGGGGAGCGGATTTGCATTCAGTTTCGGCGCTGGGAAAGGATTGCCTCCACGGGTACCCTTCTCGGAAAGCCCTTGTTTGCGGTCAGGGCTAGCATCACTCATTCGGAAGCTGACGGTTTGGTTGCTGTTCAAGCTGACCTCATCGCGGGGTTGCGACATGTCAGCTTGAGGGCTGAAGACGTCACCGACCGAGAGATCATCCTGCAATGTGCTCGACATCTCTATTTGCTTTTCTTCACTAAAGCTTGATATATCTCCCTTTTCCTTGCGTTATCCAAAGATTGTCCGAAAAGGGAACGTCACACTCAAAAATGACGACAGATCCAAAAGCGTAGAGGCACCGATAAGCACAATGCGTAAAAGAAGAGATATCACATCCACTCATTCATGGATCAGTCGGTATGTACTTGTGAGACCTATCAAGTAGTATCTGGTTTTGGAACAGACAGGTTAGACCTGGTTTTTTCCTCAGATGCACGAAAGTGGGGTATTCAGGGCAGGAGTTGCGAAACACCAACGCAAGGGGAGAAAACAATTATGAACCACGCGTACTTTTTTGGCGATAGATCCTACTTTTGCTCAGCCGGGTGGGCTTGACTGATTGCACTGGATGCTCAAAAGCAGCAAATTACCGTCCGCCCTTGTTCAGGACGGACCAAAGACCCCTAGCCAATTCACCTTGTCGACAGAGGGTTCGGGAAGCCGGGTAGACGATACGACCCGAGATCCAGCCAGCGCGGTAGTTCCTAGGGAGTATACACCAGTCGAGTCCTCGTTGGTGATCAGGGAAACAAAGCGAGCGTTGGCAGCGCGGCCAGCGAAGCGAACGATATAGGAGTGTGAAAGCGTGGGCGCAGACAAGCACATAGAGAAGTGGCAGTACGAATGTTTGTGATTGTTAAATGGATTAATATCCGGGGACACCGAAGAAAGGAAGTATAGGATTGTCTTCCGGGATCAACTCCTGGATTAAAAAGAGGAAGCGAGAGAGAGAGAGAGAGAGCGCGCGAGAAAGTGTGACCGCTTGGGGCTTCCAGTCGGAGATGTTAATTATTATTACTTGATTAAAAAAAAAGTCCGCTTGGCCATTGATCCGGGGACCAATCAGCGTGTTCTGGTGCTAAGCGGCACTAGCCCGATCAGGGACCGCGGGTCTTCACGTGCGGCAGTCATTGGGTCCTACTTTTACCTCATTCAACAGACAGAAACATCAACCGTTACAATTATGCTGGTAGTAGCTTGGTAGATCTGACTACGAATTGACTGCGGAGTCCATCGCAAGTCTCAAATGACGTCATGGGCGGTGTTTGGGCGGACCGCGGAGAGGATGTTGAGTATAGCAAGCTGCAAGACTAGGCTCTATACCCGCCCTCCATCCATCTCGGATCTCTCAAAGAATGACAGTGACCGGGTGATCTCTATCCCTGATCTTCCCACAAAGGCCAACGCGCTAGGCTTCTCTACTCGAACTGTCACGCGCTCGTTGGCGAACTCAACTGTCACTATGCGCGCGACAAAAGTCGCTAGTGCCTCCACGGTTTGGAAAGAGGTTTCCTCAACGCGCTACCAGACGTGGACATCCCAGATTAGTCACGGCTCGGCATAGACAACTGCAGCTTCATGGTACGGGCAAAAAGAAGTACTAACCTCTGCGACAGTTCTAGTCATTTCCTGGTAAGTGTCTACCACAGTTGATCCCCATGCCAACTGGCCCGGACCCTTAAACTCCAGCGAAACGATCACAGCCTGCTTCTCAACTCTCTCATGGGAATTGACACCAAGGATACAATGGCATCTTATGCCCTCAATACGGAATTCCTCTTCCAGAACCACAGGGCACCGTTCAGAATCCTGAAGATTGCCCACGACTTCGTTGTCTTGCTTGTAACCCCAAACCGTGACGCTGCGGTATTTCAGGCCTTCTTCCGCACGCAGCAGGGCCTTGGGGAGATGTAGCCAAACCTCACATCGACCAAAGACACCGTCAATAGGGGATGCCAAGGGTGGTGCTTGATTGGCGGCATTGTGCAAGTGTGACATTCTCCTAACCCCGGCCGTAGTCTCATCGAGTAACCCTAAGCTGCAGTTCGCAACAATGGCCGCCGTCAGTCGTACATCCTGACCAACATCATTCTTCATCATCGAATTTCGTCGGTTGCCTTCCAGGCTAATCATCCGTTTCCCTGGATGTTCTTCATGCTGCCCCATATTGCGGATGTCTTCTTCTAACCGGCGATAAAGCTTCCCATAGTCGATAGAAAGAGAGACATCATCCGCATTGGCAGCTGCAACGGCCGACGAGTAAGATAATTTCAGAGACACGGTGCACGGCTGCGACTTCCCAAGCCGATGCCATGCCTCTGGTGCAGCAGGGAGAGGGAGCTCAATATCGCGGAGTCGCACGCTATCTAGGACGGCAGGGTAAGACGGTATATGAACATTTACTCGCTGTTCGGCCATTGTAATTGCAATAAAGGCTCACAGCTTGTAACCTTTTTTTTATAAAAAAGAAAGAAACAAAGAAACAAAGAGAAAAAATGGGTGGGTTGTTCTCTGCTTGCAGCTGGCGTCCTTGGAAGCGAAAGCTAAGATAGCTCTGACGTCAGTACACCTGAGTGTCACTGACAACAATTGGTAGAAAAGTTGTACAGAAGAATTAGCAAATGCTCATCGCAGGAACTGATGATTCGCCTAGACTACTTTCCAACGCAAGCAGCTCTGATCAATGGCGGTTGCTTCTCGTGGTTCTGTGTCCGAAGATTGAGAAAGAATGATGGTGGGGTTCTTTAGCGCGGGGAGCTTCAACAAATATTACGCCGGTATGAACTGAACACCACAAACTTAAAGCTATCTCCACCCGGATTTCTCGCCTCAGCTCAGTGAACCCCGGCTGGAGTTGGTCATCCGCCACTGTTTCATCGGCCAACAAAGTTAGATACATACTACTTCAGCACTCCGGGCACTCGGGGTGAAATTGATACGGTACTTACCACCCGTCTGTGCCCCGCGCAGGTGTTTACGTATTTCATCGGTCAGTGACTCCATAACGGTAGCTCCGGTAATCCTATTAATACATATCCAGACCTCCCGTAGAGTAAACAAGCGATAGACTTGGTTGGTCAATGTACAATATCCTCGTAAACTGGTCCTTATCATATCATATCAGGGAATCATGTATGCCGCAGGAACAAAAGATGGCCCTATCCACAACACCCGGCGCAGCGCTGGCCAACCACCAGGAAAATGTACCACATCTCGAGGGAAGCGTGCGGCGCGCTAAGAGATAGACAGCAAGTAGACTGTCGTCGCATACCTTTTCCTTTGAATTTCGGGGGGGTTTCTAGTAAGTGCTCAAGGGCCTCAGAAATTGTCCTCACGTCAAGCAATAAACAGAAATTTTTCGACAACAGGCACGTCGCATCTTCGGTGCGTCCATTCCAGGAAATGAGGGTGGGTTGGGATCGCAACCGATTCCTTTTGGAAAGCAGGGCAAAGTAGAATCAAGCAAGCACAAAGGAACACAAGAGAGAGAGAAAAAAAAGGGGGGAGATGAACACAAAGCACATGGGTATCCGCCATGCATTCAAGACAACCAAATCACGAGAGACAGGTATTTACCAGTAACCACGGCGGTCATAGGGCACATATTCACCCCGTGGGGGACTTCGAGGGCGTCCGTAAGGCCTTGGTGGCATATAGGGATCCTCATACCGAGGAGGCGGCGGCGGGGGGCGGACATCATAGGGGTCTTCATAGGGTCGACGTGGAGGTGGATAATCATCAATACGGGGACGGGGAGGCGTCCGGCGTCCATAGCCATCACGGTCATAATAATCCCGGCGCATTGGAATTGGTGACCGCTCCCGGTAATGAGCACGGGGACTGTAGCCCCGAGGTGGAGGGAATCTCCGGTCGTACTCATCTACGGGTGGATAGCTCCGGCGAGGGACCGAGACCGGTAAGGATCACGGAAAGGGCGCTCGTCAACAGGCTGGATCTAAAGGATTTCAAAATGAGGACCTCATCCCAGCTCCTTAGGCGCAATTTGGTTCTTACATCTGCCACGCAGCTCACTCGGGAGCCTTTGAAATCACGCCCATCGAGCTTCTCAATGGCAGTCTTCAGGTCGTTCGCAGTCTCAAATTCAACGAACCTTGGAGGATTAGTGTTAACAGGGTCCGAGAGCCGTCCTGGTTTTTGTGAAGTCACCCACCCTCTGCCAAGTTCGCGGCCAGTTTCCGAGTAAACGACATCAAGACCCGCTCCACGTGCAAAGTCTTTAAGGTCCTAGAGAATTCCGCGGTGTGAGTTGATTTCCTGGTGCAATAGTGGAGTCCGGGACTATCCAACGGGGACGCATGAAACAGAATACAAAAGGAAACAGATTCAAGCCACGGTTTCACCAAACTAAATGGGAGCTCCAGAAACGGCCTGAGTCCATGCTGCTAGTGGGTATTCCGTCCAGATGGGATCCTCCAACGCCTAGCCTACCACAGCTCCCAAGGCAGCTGAGGTCCATGGAGCGTGCCTTGGAAGTACTATGGGTGCTAGGGTTGGGATCGTTCCTCCACCGGGGAGGATATCCAAATGCCAGGGAGGTTGTACCATGGCCGAGTCGAATCCTTGGGGAGTGCTATCCATGCGAACAGGGCAAGAGACAAAGGAAAATCGGGGGGAAAGCGGGGCAGCTTGTCATGCACTTATTGGCCAAAGTGCACGGCGTTCCGGGAATCCTGAGAAAAATAGACATGGGCTGCTAACCTGCCAACTTGTTTCCGGGAGTCCAGAAACCATCATACGGTAAGCCGTGCGACGGGGACGAGGCATATTAGGACGGTCCATTGGGCCAGGGAAGTTCTCCTTGCGACGTGGCCCCCGCGCGAATTGTACAGTGAGTCGCTCGCCTTTGAAATCACTGCCATCTGTATAGAGGATTTGGTCAGAAGCGCAATTACCCCAGGAACCGGCGCGAAACCGAATACATACGGAACGCTGAAGAAGAAGAATATTAGCCATATATACGTGCGGTGGGGGACCAACCTCCTACCTGGTACAACATCTCTAGCATCCATCGCATCTTCGTATTCAATGAATCCGAAGCCATTCATAAGCTTAATCTCAGTAATCTTTCCGGAGCCATGAGTGCTAAAGTGTTCCTCGATATCCTGCTTGGTAACTGAAGACCTCCCATGGCGCCCACGCAGGGCGCCGCGAGAAAATGTTAGCTCATTGCAATCAAATAGAACAAAGTTATCTAGAGAGTGTTATGGGTTGCCAATCCGGAGTTGGAAGTGCTTTAACAAATGAAAGAAGGACAAAGAATAAGTGCCAGTTCCCTCTATCAGCCAGGCACCTGGCTAGCGTTGAGAGAAAACAGCAAGTGCAGCGCATGTCCCTTTGTTGCGCATCAGGGCCAAACGAGAGGAGAGCCTTGGCGATCCATCGGAGCATCCTGGTACTTGGGGCGCAGCAGACTAAATGGGCAACATTCCGATCGGGTTGGAGAATCGAGGGGAACCTTTCAGAGAGGGGATTGATAAACGGCTGCATACCATTGCGGGGAAGATTCCCGAGATAAAGTCGTGTGGACGACACTTCGGTCATGATGGGCAAAGAAGAATGGCGTCTAGTACTGATCAAGTAATGAGAAACCCCAGTAAGATGGTTCTGGCCTCAGGACCCGCAACGGCCAAAAGAGAACGACGAGGAGATGCACTTCCAGACAAAGCGGCGATATTCGACGTAAACCCAGGGGTAAGACGAGACCTTGGGATCAAGAGGGCCGCGGTCCTAACGGAAGAATGGCTATTGTTCCTGAATCCCCAAGTGGGACGTTGGTCCAGAAGGTTGCTGGTGGCGCCTAATTAGAGGGTAATGGGGATCTCGGTAGCTTAACTTAAATCGCTGAAGGATGACCCTTCCAATGTTAGATTATCAGCCAGCAGAATACTAGAGCTAGATAGCAGAAGCAGAGAACGAAGAGAGTGCGCGAGAGGAGGATAAGGAGAGGGGAAAGAGTTGAGGGTGGCAGAGTAAAAAGAAAGACACAGAGAGATGGTCTGTGTTGACCGCCAGGCGAAACGGCAAGAACCAAAAGTTTAAAAATAAACTGAGAAAAGAGACGTCAAGTACCCCGTACCAACAGTGACCAAGGCAAAGTGACTTGTCTCTTGGAGCTTTCCAGCTGGAGGGAAACAATGCAAAATCAGTTGAGCCAAACAGCGTGACGAGAGCCTCCGCCTCACTTTTTGCTGGCGGGTCCACGTGGCCCCGCCGACAACCAAAGACAATCAATGAAATTCCAGCCTTGTGTTGACCTCCAATCAGACTGCATGCATCAATGGAAAATAGAAAAGTAGGAAACAGTATTGTGTATGCATTCAATCTAGACAGACACTAGTCAAGGGGTTCATGGCGGTCAACTGTAACTTCTGACTCGGAGAATAAAGAATACTACTCTCTCTCTCTCTCTTATTTCCGAGAAGAGATTGAATCGCACACACATAAGTCATCGATTACATGCACATTACCGATGGGATGTCATAACATGGTACTGTATCCTCGCTGGTACTGGTACGGAGTACATGTTTGTATGTTTGGACATACATCCAAATGGATCCTATATACTCGGAGTACACCGTACCTTTCGAGGTATTTCCACGGTTCCGTCCCATCAAATCCCCACGGGGTTGAGCCGCAAGACCGATTTGAGGTACGTTGCTGTACAGTCGCAGTACCAACTCTTCCACTTCATCTATAAGGGATCATACTATGAAATATTGTTTTTATTTGGTTTTCTGTGGTTCCCATTCTCTACCCCACCAGAACATATTGTGGAGCAAGTCACTACTACCATAAAAAAGAAACAGATATTTGAACAAAATCTATATACAGGAACCCGGCCCAATCCAATCAGCTGCTTTTATTTATACAAGGCGAAATACGACAGTGGAAATTACCTAGTGGTGACCATAGGTACCTAGTTCCAATACCGGAGTCGATCAGGTCATGAAATATTTAGGACCCTCACCACCTTGAGGGGTTTGCCAATTGATGTCTTGTGTCGGCACCTTAATGTCACAGGTCTTGCAGTGAATGCAGCTAAAGGCAAGATTAGTACCGAAAAAAGAAGGTGTCCGGGAATCACTTACTTCTGAGCATTGATTTGGAACCGAACACCGTGCTCCTTGGTCGAATCTTCAACATATTCATACACTCCAGCGGGGCAGAACCGGTTCTCAACCCCCTTGTACTTAGGCCAAGCAATGTCCTTGTGCTTGTCCCAGTCTGCCACCTGCAAGTGTACCGGCTGATCTTCCTCGTGATTGGTACCGGTCCGACTGACGCTGGTCAAAATATCGAAGCTGATGACGCCATCCGGCTTGGGGTACTCGATCTTCTCACACTCAGAAGCTTGCTTGGTGGCTGCTGCATCTGTACCGTGATGCTTGAGCGTCCATGGGGTCCTGCCCTTGAAAAGATAGGCTTCCAACCCGGAATACATGATGCCGCCGTAAAGGCCGAGTGGAGTACTAAAGGAAGGTCTCATGTTGCGCACCTCATACAGCTCCTTCCAGATCGACGACTTTCGAAGAGCATCCTCATAGTCAAAGAGGAAAACGGTTGCATCGTCCGCTTTACCCTGCAATGCCGAGAAAGCGGATTCAGCAGCCAGCATACCTGACTTCATAGCCGTGTGGGTACCCTTGATCTTAGGAACATTCAAAAATCCAGCAGTATCACCGATCAAGGCGCCACCAGGGAATGCACACTTCGGGATTGACTGGAAGCCACCCTCGTTCAGGGCTCTGGCACCATATGAAATGCACTTACCACCCTCCAGGACCTCCTTGAAGAGAGGGTGGTGCTTGAGCTTCTGGAACTCCCCATATGGCGAGAGCCACGGGTTAGGATAATCAAGGCCAACCACCATCCCAATACTGACCATATTATCACCAAAATGATACAACCAAGATCCGCCATAGGTATCCTTGGGAAGCGGGTAGCCCATAGAATGAATAATCTCCCCAGACTTAAACTTCTCCGGCTGAATTTCCCAGACTTCCTTCAGACCGATTCCATAGGTTTGCGGTTGGCTATCGCGTCTAAGATCGTACTTTTTGATGACCTGCTTTGTCAAACTACCATGACAACCCTCTGCGAGCAGGGTTATACGAGCGTGGAACTCCATACCACGCTCGAAACTCTCCTTGGCTTTTCCATCACGGCCGATTCCGAGATCGTTGGTTGCGACACCAAGCACCGACCCATCCGGCTTGTAGACTAGCTCACTGGCAGCAAAGCCAGGGTAGATTTCCACACCCAGTTCCTCGGCTCGCTCACCCAGCCATTTGGTCAGCTCGTTCAAGCTGATGATATAATTGCCGTGATTGTTCATCTGCGGTGGCGCAGGAATTGGAATTGCCGAGTTCTTAGTTAAAAAGCGCATCTTGTCTCCTTTGGCCGGCGTGGCACCCTCGAATCTTGAGGGGTTATCCTCCGAGAGCCAATCTGGCAAAAGCTCATTGATAGCGGTCGGTTCTAGAACATTGCCCGAGAGAATATGTGCGCCTATCTCGCCAGCCTTTTCCAACACAATAACACGAAACTCTTCGTTACCAGCTTCATTGGCCAGCTGCTTTAAGCGAATCGCAGAGGCAAGACCAGCAGGGCCTAACCGGTAGAGAATGTTCGTTAGCTACCTAGATCTTCCAGTAGGATACCAAGCAATATGAAAGGAGGATCCTTACCGCCACCAACGATACAAACATCGACCTCGTCCGATTCCCTCTCCACTTGACGGGGATCAAAATGGCCATCCTCGTCTGTGAGCTTGTTGGATAGCGACTGCGAGAAGCATCTAAATTGGCCGAGAGTCCGACTTGGTGTGAAGAGTGCTGCCTGACGGGTTGTCCTCCGACCGGAAGCCAAAACCGAGCTTCTAGAGCTCCGAAGAGGGGCTGCGGCAGATGAGAAAGAAGCTCTTGAGAATCGGGAGGCAGCTGGTCGCAGTTCGCGCCTCAAGAGAGGCAAAACGGCTCCTTTCGAAGCCATCGCAACGGTAGGAAACAGGGTGGTAATAGATTGGCGCACGGTTTGGAGGTCCTATATGTGGAACAAATGCATGGCAAGGGGTATACAAGCGTCGTTAAAAGACCCGAGGGTAGGGGAATTGGATTAAATGGTTAGAATCGGTACTGGAGCACTCAAGGTCAAATCCCTCCGTCACCGGCAAGGATGAAAAGGTGACTAAGCCCTCTTTAGCGGGAGGCTAGTGGTCAGTCTGAGTTACCGCCAACCCGAGGTAAGGATGGCCAATAGGAATCGCGGCAATAGGAATCACATCCGCCTCGTTGTTCCGCTGTTAGCCCGCTATCCGTCGGAAGTACCGGGAACATACAGTCTATACTCCGGCGTATAGTACTCCGTATATACTACTTGTATCCATCCCCTGGAGACATCCGGGGCATGGAGGCAGGGTTCGATCTATATAAATGCCGATGCAAGCTTATTGATTCTCACCAGATAAGATGTATCAAAGTCTGTGCAGGTTCAAGACTCGGTGTACCGATAAGGAAAAGGCCCCTGCCAGGTACTAGTAGCCAACTAGCTATACAATCACATGAACGAAGATCTCACGTGTGAAGTTCCATGGAGGAAGAAAAGAAGTTGGAATTCAAATAAGCATTCCATTCGTGCGTACTGCACGGCAACTAGTACTAGTAGTAGAGAATAGCTTTCATATCGATATGGCATGTGATGGGACGGAGAAAAGAAACGCCGTCATCCGAACCCTGCGTCCTTTTTGTTCAAGAAAAGCTTCATTCCTGGAATGGAATCTCGAAACTACGACTCATCCACACACTTGCAGACTCAGTGTTATTGAAGACTGTTGGAATGCTGACAAACACTTAATAATGTACACAAAGGGTATCTCTTCACTGTTTCGCTCATCTGTATGGGGTGTATGGTATTCAGCATACCGCCAAGGCATGTAAAATACCAAGCCATGCGTTATCAAAGTAAATACTGTACCTACAGAAGTAAGAGTGAACATTTGTACAAAATCGGATGTTTATTATAATATGACAGATCATGGGATGTGCATTTCTGTTCAAAAAAGCAAGTTCGGTGGATCACAAATTTGGCTAAAGATCTGGGGAAAGGCGGTCGGCGCCACCGTGTCCCGAGCGGCGCTTGTTGAAGGTCCAATTAGGACACCGTAGCCTCTACGGATGAGACGGCAAACTTTTTCTACCTGTCGACCCTCAAGTTTTTGCCAGGAGGGGAGGATCAGGTTTCAAGTTTGTGTTTCCCTTTTTTCTTTCTTCTCTTCTTTATCTTTTTGGTGTAGGAGCGCTCAGCATGATGTATAAAAACTCTACTTACCGAGGACGGGTGGAAAGAAGTTGTGTCCATGGATAAGAAAGAGGGAGAGGCGAAATTTTTGTTCAGCTGCCTACCGTTAAAGCGGCACGGTGAAAGGGAACGAGGGCGTGTCGTGAGGGAGACCCCGAGAACAGCAACGCGGAATGATTGGAAGAAAAAGGGAATGGATTGGCTGCGCGGTGGGACCGAACGTCGAGAGCAGGAGGACAGCGGACTGGAGGAAGCGACAGTGGCTGCAACCATGGCGCTGACCGGGAGAATACGTAAGGGGGCAACAGCCAAACAGAGCGTGTACGACCTGGTGGGGCTCCCAAACAGATTGCGTTGAGTGGGCCTGTTGATCAACAAACCAGAGATGACGAAATCGCACTGGGACGAAGGGTTGGCCACCCAAGAGCCGCTAGTGGAGCGCTAAGTCAGTGAGAGTCTGAGTGAATCCATGGATGAGCGCGACCGTCCGTCGCTGCTTTTGCCGCCCGCCAGTCGCCGGGCCCAGCCCCCCCTGACGCCAGCACTCTCGGGCAACTGTGAGTCAGCCTATATAAAGGCCCAACCTCCCACTTTCTGATGCTCTTGGAATTTTTGATCTTGGTCTTGGCACCGCCCCGGAACGCCATACAGTCGTCTTCTCTCCGCCCTCCCCTCTACCTCTATCTCTCCACACTTCCGCCTGATACAGGTCGCAGAGATTTGCTTTCAGCATCCTCTGCTTTGGTGGCTAAAAGACTCCGGGAAGAAATATTTTTTAGGAGGCTCCAAAAGGGAAAAGAAAAATATTATTTTAGTATTTTTCTGCCCCCCAGTTTCAGATTCACTTACTGAAACGGGAAGCTTACAACCTTTTTCTACTCAGGTGTCCATCTTACGACACACTGCAAGAAACAAACACACTCTCTCTTTCCACAGATAGACATTGAATTTCCAGGAAAGGAAAAGAAAAGCCAAAAAAAAGTTTTTGTTGTTTGCCTTGTTTGCCCCAAAAAAAAGCGCATATTCTTTCTTGTGTCCGCTCCCTTCACGTTGCTGTCCATTACTCTTTCCCCATCATAGTTGTGACAGTTCCCTTGTTGAGTTAATATCCTAGAAAACACTTCACTGTGCTTTTCTAGTTGCCTTCTCTGCTCTACATCACCTTGTGATACTTGACTTCTTGGTCAGGGTCCAGGTCTCCTCCCTGTCTATCAACATCTCTATTGTTCTTGTTGGAGGTCTTGCTTGACTTGACCCTGAGCTCAGTCCCGTTTCGCTTCTACACGAAGCGGTTTACTGTGATCAAACACAAGGCAGCTTTGCTGTCGGGGAGACATTGAGTTGTCCATCTCCACAAAGGGTATGTTTTCTTGCTTTCCCTACGCGAAATTTTTTTTTCTGCCTTCTTTGACCGCATGTCGCCTCACTTCGCGGTCATGTGGTGTTTTTGCTAGACCGACTTGTCGAATACATCTATGTATATGTTCACTCAATATATTCTTACCCTTGGATCATACTACCTACCTGTCCTCTTACACTGGAGTTGCACGTTGACTGACTGTCCTTCGGGAACAGACTGCCAATCCAAGCTCTCGTATACAATCAGTTTTTGGCTGGTCTACAGCTCGAGTATCATCTACTCACGTCGCAATGGATTCTCTCACGACCCATCCCTCCACCGCGCAGCAGGCCCGGGCCTTCACTTCTCCTGCCTCTCTGTCCTTTCCTGGTGGTGCCGGTGACTTGACACCGCCTTCCGATAAAGACGGAAACATGGCGTTGAACCTTCAAGGTGCAAACGGACATGTGAACGGCCAGCAGCAGGGAGGAAATGCCTCCAACGGCAACGGGGTGACACCCGCTACTCCTGTTGCAACTCCAGGTGCCAACACTCCGGGGAGTGGCATTGTGCCTACGTTGCAGTGAGTATACTCTTGCTGTCTCTTCTGGTATACCAGAATGCTGAACAAGGATCTTCTTTTTTAAGAAACATTGTCGCTACTGTAAATCTTGACTGTCGCCTGGACTTGAAGACTATTGCGCTCCACGCAAGAAATGCGGAGTACAATCCAAAGGTATTGCATCTCACACCTCCCTGAGCCTTGATTGTCAGGGCATAGTGTGGCTGAACTGCTCTTTTACTAGCGTTTCGCGGCCGTGATTATGCGTATTCGTGAACCCAAGACCACCGCTTTGATTTTCGCCTCGGGCAAGATGGTTGTCACTGGTGCCAAGTCCGAGGATGACTCGAAGCTGGCATCCAGGAAGTACGCCCGTATCATCCAGAAGCTCGGATTTAATGCCAAGTTCACGGATTTCAAGATCCAGAACATTGTCGGCTCCTGCGACATCAAGTTCCCCATTCGCCTGGAAGGTTTGGCTAGTCGCCACCACAACTTCAGTTCTTATGAACCTGAGTTGTTCCCTGGCCTCATCTACCGTATGATGAAGCCCAAGATCGTGCTTTTGATCTTCGTCAGTGGCAAGATTGTCTTGACCGGCGCCAAGGTCCGTGAAGAGATCTACCAGGCGTTCGAGCTAATCTATCCTGTGCTTTCTGGTACAGTACCTTACATTCCAACCCGTTCGTAATATTGTTACTAACTACTCGAAAAGATTTCCGTAAAGTCTAAAAGGACTAATGTCGGTGCTCGCTTGCATAGGGGGATTACCCTTCACCTTTCGCACCCATGTATTAACATTTGCTCTTTTTCTTGTCTCTTTTCTTGCTCTGCGAGATTGTATCATGAGCCAGGCCGGACGTGTCGCGTTCGCTTGGTCGTTGCCTTTATTGTCGAACTCGCATATCACGATTCCTTATGCTAGCATTTCTACGGCGTTCTAGCGATTCGGTTTGTTTCTGGTCGTCTGTTTCAACAAACTAAAGTCTCTTTTTACAATTAGAAGTCGCACACCGCAGATTCAAGGGGGCGGTACTGTGCGCTGGTCGATGGTTGCTCCCTCTTAATTACTTGTTTTTGCGTTCTTTTGCCTATCGGCTGCTGACCCTTTCATCTTGACCCCGTCTCCATGGAAGTGGTTCTTCGAGCGCTATTTGTTTTCACGACTCTTTCGGAAGATGATGGATCAAATGGGAATAAATTTTCCTGCGATATTCCTCTAGACCTTTTAACGGAAGTGGACGAATGCACTGGCTGGTTGGTGAATCAGGCAATGAACCTGGTTCTTGTGGCACGATTCTTTCTACCTTTCCTCGATAGCCTCTGAACCAAATGGAGTGAAACCATACAAACATGTTCCTCGTAATCTATACACCGTTTCACGTAAGCAGGTTTTGATAGGGCTTTTTATATACAAGGTATATCTACAGGGGTATATTTTATGTCCAGTTTTAGTACTACCCGATTACAGGACGCCCTTGCGCTGTGCTTTCTTAGTTTTGGCCAGCTCGTCCATCAACCGCAAGCCCTTCGCACCAGACCGGCTTCCATCACCTTCAAACTCACCCTCTACAGCCGCCGGCCATTTCCAAATCTCGCCCAGCTCCGGCTCAAGCTTACCCTCCATTGCATCGACAATCTTGTCCCCGAGCACCGGGAGGAACTTGTACCCGTGCCCACTGCCACCCGTAGCGAGGAAGAGGTTCGGGTGGTCGGGATGATACGTGATGATGAAGTGACCCTCGGGCCTAGTTTTTGTTAGACTTGCCGCATTCCCACTACGGGTTCTTTCAGAGTCAACTTACGTGTCGGTGTACCAGCAGACTCGAGTCTGGATGAATGGCCGGTCACCCATGCTTGGTAGCAGATTCCTCAAAGCAGATCTCAGAGCTTCTTCGCCTTCTAGGGGGACCGGGACCCCGGGTTCCGGCAGACTGACTTCCATCGTTTCTCCCTCAACCCCGGGAATGGGCACATTCTTAGGGTTGACATAGCCGTAGGCGTGACGAGCGATCTTCAACAGATTCTTGCGCGGGGGGATGATGAAGAAACCCGTCGCGAAGTTGAGGATAGTAGGCATGTTCTCCAGCCGCCGCTGCTCTTCGTCGGAGATCTGGACGAACGCAACCGCCTGGCCCGTTGAGAGAGCCCGGCCGCGGAGGTCGACAAGCTTACCCGTCCAAGCCCCCGTCGCGAGAACGACCAGATCGGCCGTGAGGGAGGATCCATCTTCCAAGAGAACTCCAATCACCTTGCGCTGGGAGGCACCGTCGGGTTGGTGTGCGTAGAGGAGGGTCTTGACTTCCCCGGTTTTGAAGGTGACCTTGCCCTCCGTGTCGAGAAGCTTCTTTGCATATCGAACGCCGGCTTCGGCGTCCGACCAGCCTGAACCCCAATTCACGTAGCCGCCCGCCACATTCAACTCCTCCCCGTATGCGTGCGCCACTCGCAGGACGTCTTTTTTGGATGGCAGTAGCTCGACGTCGTTTCCTAGTTCTTTGACATTGTTGTAACTCTTCCTGGCGTATTCCTTGCCATTGGTGTTTCCTTCGGGGTAGACGAGAAGTAGTCCGCTTTGGATGTATCGGTTATCTTCGGCGCCCCATTCGGTGTTGCGCCAGCGCTCGATGGCTGCGTCCGCGAGTTTTGTGTACACAGGGTGCGAGTAGTCCGCGCGGACGATGCGTGAAGCGTCCACTGAGGAGCCTTCAGGGTTGGGGATTATAGGCGATGCCTCTAGAACAGTAACTTCGCTTGTGGGGTGCCTCCGGGAAAGTGAGAGGGCGGTGGATACTGTGTGGTTGGACAAAGAATCAGCAACCGTAAACTCATAACGGTGGTTTGTTAGGAGTCAATGGCAATGCGCTTGTGTAAATCTCACGAACAAAAGCAAAATTAGGGAATACCAGCTCAGTATATCCATCACTCACATCCAAAGACACCTCCACCTACGATGAGGATTTTGGGTGGTAAAGCCATGACTTTTGCGGTTATACTGGAATGACAGCGTTCAGAAAGAACTACTCCGTTGCACCTTTTCTGCAAAATGGACACAGAAACAGAAAAGATGCGGAGAGAGAAGTCCGGGGGACCTTTAAAAATAGTGGCTCCATGTTCGGAGCGATATAGGAGCACCAAAGATTTAGTTAGCGGTATGACAATTGATAGGCTCCCTATCGCCTCGTAAGCTTGGCTTTTCTTTTTTTTCTCGGCCGCAACGCAACTCCCGGTCTAGCCAACTCAGTTGATCGGCTATTACCCCCGGAAAATCATATGTTGATATATTTACCCCCATAGCATCGAATATGCATTGATCATTATCCGTTGGAATGTGATTTTGTTTATTGTTAAATAGACTCACAATTGAATGCTTGTCAGCCTTCCCCCGCGAAAGGATATATATCGGCCCGAAGATCCCCAAAACCACGGCAATTGAATGAATATCGTATAATTACCACATCCCACGCCCTTAATCACTCAGCATGAGCGCGTCCCGAGTAGGCCGGGCCGCGCTGAAGGCCAAAGTGCCTGTTACCGGTCCTAAAAGGACCGGCAGTAAGATTCCGGTCGATGGTCCTGGGTCAGTATATGATGCTCCCTTCGATTGCTGTGAGCCGTGCAGCATACTTCCCGGGAATAATCGCCCTTCCCCTGGTAGGCATATATAGAAAGATGGTTTATCTAACCGTCTCGACAGCAAGAAGCCGTCAGCAGCATCGCCGCTGCCAAAGCGGGCTAATCCACATCTCCTGAATCTTCAAGAGGCACAACCCCGCATGTCTCCAAAAGTAATGACCATTCTAGGGGTCGGTGTCCTCGGCATGAGCACATACTGTGGGTATCTATACGCCTCCTACAGACGAGAAGTGACCCATGCGCAGTCTATGGACGTGCCCAGGGATGTATCTGATCGATACAACCAGACAGCTAGGACCTTCGACGCTGATGTCGAAATGTCCGAGAAGCTGATGCGGATGGGGAAGAAGCGGCGAGATCTTGTCCAGAAGGCCCGTGGAAATGTGCTCGAGGTGAGCTGTGGCACGGGTCGAAATCTGGAATATTACGAACTTGGACAGCAGAGAAAGCCTAATGAGAGAGGGCAAGTAGAGCTTCAGGGATGCCGCTCCGTTACGTTTGTCGATCTCAGCCCGCAGATGGTAGAGATCGCGCGAGGCAAGTTCCAGAAGTTGCATCCCGGGTTCAAGGATGTCAACTTCCGGGCACAGGATGTGAAGGACGTTGCTCCTCCTCCGACTGGGGATAAGCGGGCTTATTTTGATACGATCGTACAGACCATGGGATTGTGTTCGATGCCAGACCCTGTTGGCGCCCTTCGCCACCTGGGGTCCATCACCGAGCCGGAAAAGGGACGGATTCTGCTTTTAGAGCACGGCCGGTCGCACTATGACTGGCTGAATCGCATCCTTGACAATCTCGCACCCGCCCATGCGGACCGCCATGGGTGTTGGTGGAACAGGGATATTGGAGCGATTGTCCGGGAGAGTGGTCTGGAGGTTGTTGAGGAGAAACGGTGGCATTTCGGAACTACATGGAAATATGTGCTGAAACCAGCACGTGGTAATTAAGAGGTCAGGTGTAGGCAGTCTTGTATATTAACCGTCCTGTAACATAGACAGCATGGATGTAGTACCCTAGCAAATAACTTAGAGAACTCTAGAGAGGTCACTACGTTTCGGTTTCGATGTACGCGATGAGGCTACGAGAGCGACGTGGGTAACTATAGAGATATTGGTATACATAAATTATTTATACATTCCACGCAAAGTTGATCCATGTAAATAAGCTCAGTGGAATATAAGGGTTCGTCCCGGTCGTTGATCCGCCACGTCCAGAGTCTATCGACTTCCTTGTTTGGTCATCTGATCTCGTTACCCTGGATTTATGGCCATCGGATTGCGGCAGGGTGACGGGGGTGACGACAGGGACCAGGATAGGCTTATGCAGCAATCGCACTGGATCGAAACCCTTACCGCGAATGCAAGTAGTTCGTCAGGTAGATGCAAATACTACCTAAATTAACCGAGAATATCTACATTTAGAGAAGTCCTACGCAATATGGAGTCACGCAAACGGTGAACATCGTGCCCTCTTTCCCGAGTTGGGAATATATCTGTCTGTAGTCAGCAAGCGACGATGCCGATCGCCTCGGAAACTAGAATACAAACTGGAACCGGTGTAGAACCTCTTGATGAGGTCAAGATGGCGTTATGCACATGCGGGGTAACAAAGTTACTTTCTATCTTTTTGTGTATGTACGCCACCGATAGAATATATGTCATGTATGTACCTGTGCCTGGAGTTTTGAGACCCCTCGCAGAAATATCCCCAGCGTTCCATCGGGTCGGAGAAAAGACGGACAACCGCTTCTGGGTTGGATGCATCATTTAAGGTTTATCAACCATGTCACCACTTTCTATAGTAAACGGGTTAAACTTTTGAACTAGGGTTCTAGTTATGTCGTAGTCAGCTCTTGGAAAGTTTTTGAGTCGTTGGTTTGAATATCATTTTGTTTTTCCAACACTCCTTCGTGTCGGGTCAAGCTGCACCAGAAGGCTGGAGACGTGTAGATTTATCATAAGCTGAAGAGTCTGCCGTGTCGCCGTAAGACGCATGATGAACTGCATATTATTCCGTCTGGGAGGGTGGGGGAGACGAATCTTAGGTATGGACGCGTCGATAAATATAATTTACGCCAGAGTAAGAGAATAACGAAGTCGGCTGGCCAATTCATTCGGTTTCCCCCCTCCTCTATCTATCACTTTGAAACAAAAGGGTTAAGTTGTGGAGAGGCATACCCCAAACCAAGTTATTTGGTTGTCACAGGAGGGGCGGCCCCCTTTCCCAGGCAACAAGGTTGACATCCGGGCTGGGAATGATCCCATCCAACTTTAGTAGTATGTGTACGGAGTACAGTATGTGCTCTGGGTAAAGCCCTACAAGTACTAGTACGAGTGGGAGGAATAGTTGACAGGAGTGAACGACACAGCAATGCATTGTTATGGATGCCTTCTGGAGGACACACAGATCCATGATCCCGAATTGTTGACTGGCGTCATGGATAAATTGATCCCTTGCGTGCGGGTGATACATCACACATCCCCTTCTATGTATGTACATATGTACTTGTATGTATGCGTGGGCGAACACCCGCAGTTTCATCGTTTTGATCAACCAGTGTATGATGCTTTCGATCTATGATAAATGACGGATGGACGAGTCAACACAGCCTTACCGTGGCATCTTCCACTTGGGCGCAGTGGCGAGCTATTACTGGATTCAGATCCATTCCAATTTCCATTCCCATTTTTCTCGACATCTCCATTTTCTTTAGTGGGCAAACTAACATAGCGCCGCCTTTAGCCCATCCGATTGGATTCCTTCCAAATCTTCTAGACGGCTCGGTATTTACTCCACTTGATTTGATCTGATTTGCCGGTGCTTGCTAAACGGTGGCGCTAGGAATGAGGTTCCATGGAACTCGCTCTTTCAACGGTGGGGATCTTTTCATGCTGCGATTGGCCTCGTTTTTGCTCTTGGGTTCCATCCCCTCTCCAGGTTAGTGCATAAACTGGTGCATGAATCTATACTATGTACGGCATTAGACGGTCGACCCTAGGCTTCTTTGGACCTAGTCTGAACCAATTTACCCTTTCCTTGGTTTTTAATAATTTTTTTTTTGTTTCCATTATTGTTTTGCTTTTTTGTATTCCGTTCTCTGTCGAAAAAATCCACCCACCTCTCTCAAACTACGGCGACATGGATGGCGTACCATGGAATACATTCAGCTATGATGCACTTACCCGTAGACGATGCAGCTGTTCCCTTTGTTCTAGCTAATTATTGTATTGCTGAATGTCTCCATCCGAGACTGAGACACAATCCTGATTGATGTATCGTAATCTCTTTGTTGGTAGGTTATACCTATGTACATACCTACGGACTCCGTATACTCTTGCTAGCTCGGAAGGAATCACCCGAAAACTAAGGCAATAATACGTAGATTAAAAATGCGGTGTCCAGATGTCGGTGAGGAAAGCCTGAAAATCAGTCCAGGAGACGGTGTAAGGACGGCATTTAGACTGAAGGTCAGAGCTCGAAACTAAAAGGTCTCTCAATCTATACAATGGACGATTGTTTGTTGCTCTCGATGCGGAATACCTGCGCAGCAACCAGGTCGAGGACGACTAAGTTACCCGAATTGCCTCTGGAGTCTTGACTATGGTTGTTAGGGCTCCACGACGCATACTCCATCAGAGCGTCCATGCAGAACCTCAGTTGATCACCGTCTCCCCGCCGCCAATCAGCACGGAAGATATTCGACCCGGTCGTCATAGACACATGGTGCGCCCCACAGTACTTTTTTTGCCCCTTCATTCGGCCGCATTGAATCCATCCATCCATTCTGGGTCCTGCCCGGATGTCTCTCGGTATGCAAACACACACGCGCGCACTTGCTTTAGAGCCACAATAGTCAAACATTCAGCGGTGAAGGTGGATTGCATGAGATGCATTGTTTTTGTTTTGATCCAACATGGAGGGGTAAACCGAGGGGGAAAATGATAAAGAGGAAGATATGTTGAACGAGGAAAAACCAAAACAACCAAGAACTTTTTTTTCTCCTTCCGGCATTCCTGAAAAAAGAAAAAAAAAAAAAAGAAAGAAAGAAAGTGCCCCATTGGTTATTCCAGCCAATAAACGCCACGGCAAAGCACCCGCTTTTCAAAGAT